AAAGGAAGAGATACAGTTGGATGCTGACCCATTAGCTAAAATGTGCGTCAACTTTTCTAGAATCACTGAGTATTTCTCTAAAGACTTACGGCTTCTGGAATGGGATGACTATCCTTTAGGATCTCTGCCATCAAGTTTTAAACCATGTGAGCTTGTTGAACTCAAGATGCCTAACAGTCGCATTACCCAACTATGGCATGAAAGTGTAAGATCATTTATTCTCTCTTCCGTATGTCTGCACGATATATATATATAATTATTCTCTCTTCCGTACGTATGTCCGCACGTTATTATTGTGCGGATGTCATTGTAAATAGAGAGGAAAGCAGGGTGAGGTAGTAGAAAATACATGAAGTTCGCACGATAATAACGTCCGGATGTCCGCATAGGAGAATTTCTGTGTATATATATATATATATATTTCTTGCACCGAGTTAGGCTGACAATTAGTTATGATAAAGTTAAAGCTAGAATGCTTATCTTCCCAATAATTACTAAGTTGTCTAGTAACTCTTTTTTCTTTTCCAATTCCATAACAGTGTACCATGATGGAAAACTTAGTACAAATGGATCTTTCAAACTGCAAATTCTTGATCAAGACCCCAGACTTCAGAAAGGTCCCAAATCTTGAGAGGTTGATTCTTGAAGGTAGTGAAAAATTATCAGAGGTTCACCCAACAATTGGGGATCTCCAACGTCTCGTTGTATTGAATATGGAAGGTTGTGGAAGTCTAGAGAGCCTTCCCCACTCCATCAGCTTGGAATCTCTTAAAACCTTTAATCTTTCTGGTTGTTCAAAACTCAAAGAGTTTCCAGAGATTGTGGGAAACATGGAAGCTTTGTCAGAACTTTATTTAGATGGGACGGCTATAAGGAAGCTGCTGGCATCAATCCGGAAATTGAGGGGGTTTATTTTGTTAAATTTACGTGGTTGCAAGAACCTTACGAGTTTTCTGATGGCCATTTGTAGTTTGACATCTTCGGAACTGTTGCAAGAGCTTGATGCTTGTAAACCTGCTATAACAAAAGTGCCTGTGTCCGTTTTATCACTTCCAAAGCTTAAACGATTATTTTTCCGTGGAAAGAAAGATGTGCCAGTCGAATCCTCTGTATCCGCTGAACATAAAGATGAGCTTGCGGAATCCTCTGTTTCCACTGAGCATAGAGATGTGCAAATGGAATCCTCTGTATTGTTCAATAAGGTGGCAGAATTCTCTAGCATGCTATATCTTACACTTGCATTATTAGGTTATTTTTTCGTCTTATTGTGGGAAACATGGAAGCTTTGTCAGAACTTTATTTAGATGAGACGGCTATAAGGAAGCTGCCGGCATCAATCCAGCAATTGAGGGGCCTTATTTTGTTAAATTTAAATGGTTGCAAGAACCTTACGGGTTTTCCGATGGCCATTTGTAGTTTGACATCTTTGAGATATATATATATGTCTGGCTGCTCACGTATTGACATACTGCCGGAAAACCTGGGGAGTTTGGAACAGTTGCAAGTGCTTGATGCCTGTAAAACTGCTATAACAAAAATGCCTGGCTCCATTTTATTACTTCCGAAGCTTAAACGATTATGTTTCCGCGGAAACAAAGATGTGGCAGTCGAATCCTCTGTATTCGATGAACATAAAGACGAGCTTGCAGAATCCTCTGTTTCCACTGAGCATAGAGATGTGCAAATGGAATCCTCTGTATTGTTCAATGAGGTGGCAGAATTCTCTAGCATGCTATATCTTACACTTGCATTATTAGGTTATTTGTTCGTCTTATTCTCTAGCATGCTATATCTTACACTTGAACTTTATCGTTTGGTATAGGGAACAACTGCTGTCAAAGACATATTACTAAGCTTGCTGGGAAAGGAAGAGATACAGTTGGATGCTGACCCATTAGCTAAAATGTGCGTCAACTTTTCTAGAATCACTGAGTATTTCTCTAAAGACTTACGGCTTCTGGAATGGGATGACTATCCTTTAGGATCTCTGCCATCAAGTTTTAAACCATGTGAGCTTGTTGAACTCAAGATGCCTAACAGTCGCTTTACCCACCTATGGCATGAAAGTGTAAGACAATTTTTACTTGATTATGTATATTTCTTGCGCTGAGTTAGGCTAACCATTAGTTATGATTAAGTTAAAGCTAGAATAATTACTGACTAAGTTGTCAAATAACTCTTTTTTCTTTTCCAATTCCATAACAGTGTACCATGATGGAAAACTTAGTACAAATGGATCTTTCAAACTGCAAATTCTTGATCAAGACCCCAGACTTCAGAAAGGTCCCAAATCTTGAGAGGTTGATTCTTGAAGGTTGTGAAAGTCTAGAGAGCCTTCCCTACTCCATCAGCTTGAAATCTCTTAAAACCTTTGATCTTTCTGGTTGTTCAAAACTCAAAGAGTTTCCAGAGACTGGGGGAAACATGGAAGCTTTGTCAGAACTTTATTTAGATGGGACGGCTATAAGGAAGCTGCTGGCATCAATCCGGAAATTGAGGGGGTTTATTTTGTTAAATTTACGTGGTTGCAAGAACCTTACGAGTTTTCTGATGGCCATTTGTAGTTTGACATCTTCGGAACTGTTGCAAGAGCTTGATGCCTGTAAACCTGCTATAACAAAAGTGCCTGTGTCCGTTTTATCACTTCCGAAGCTTAAACGATTATTTTTCCGTGGAAAGATGAGCTTGCGGAATCCTCTGTTTCCAAAAGTGCCTGTATCCGCTGAACATAAAGATGAGCTTGCGGAATCCTCTGTTTCCAAAAGTGCCTGTATCCGCTGAACATAAAGATGAGCTTGCGGAATCCTCTGTTTCCAAAAGTGCCTGTATCCGCTGAACATAAAGATGAGCTTGCGGAATCCTCTGTTTCCACTGAGCATAGAGATGTGCAAATGGAATGCTCTGTATTGTTCAATAAGGTGGCAGAATTCTCTAGCATGCTATATCTTACACTTGCATTATTAGGTTATTTTTTCGTCTTATTCTCTAGCATGCTATATCTTACACTTGAACTTTATCGTTTGGTATAGGGAACAACTGCTGTCAAAGACATATTACTAAGCTTGCTGGGAAAGAAAGAGATACAGTTGGATGCTGACCCATTAGCTAAAATGTGCGTCAACTTTTCTAGAATCACTGAGTATTTCTCTAAAGACTTACGGCTTCTGGAATGGGATGACTATCCTTTAGGATCTCTGCCATCAAGTTTTAAACCATGTGAGCTTGTTGAACTCAAGATGCCTAACAGTCGCTTTATCCACCTATGGCATGAAAGTGTAAGACAATTTTTTACTTGATTATGTATATTTCTTGCGCTGAGTTAGGCTAACAATTAGTTATGATTAAGTTAAAGCTAGAATAATTACTGACTAAGTTGTCTATTAACTCTTTTTTCTTTTCCAATTCCATAACAGCATACTTTGATGAAAAGAATATTTAAACCACCTCAGCTTGTCGAACTCAAGCGTCTAGATTTGAGTGGAAATGGTATTGTGAGCTTACCTGAAAGCATCTCTCAGCTTTCTAAGCTTAGAGAACTTGGGTTGTTTAGGTGTAGCAACCTTCAGTCGTTGCCAAAACAACTTCCGTTGAGTATAAAGTTCATAGATGTACGTCATTGTCCTATGCTGCCAATTTCAAGGAATTTGACAGTATGGACTGCTATTAACGGTTTTAGTTTCATGATTTGTGAAAATTCCGATGAGGATGAAGATAGAACAAGGCACCAACTTGCGGTTCGCGAAGAACTTCATGATGAACTATTCTTTTCTAAATACATTGAGGTGTTGACTCTCTCTCTCTCTCTCTCTCTCTCTCTCTCTCATATTGAACATCTTTAATATTGTTTTTCTCTTTGGTTTTAATTTTATTTTTTTGTACAGGACCGAATTTATCATGAAAAGCCATTTGAAATTCGCGCTCATTTTCCTGATAGTACGAGAGTTCCTAACTGGTGCAGACATTGGATGAGTGGGTCTTCTGTAATAGCCAAACTACCTATTGATACAGAAGGTAGTAATGGCAGGTGTATGGGGTTTGCCCTATTTGTTGCTTTCGAAATCGTTGAGAATGAAAATTTTCAGAAAAGTTGGGAATTGGAAAAGACTGTTTGCCATTTTTCCACCCGTGAAGGTCGTCTTGAACATCCCATAGTCTTTCAAAACTTTGAAAACTACAGGGTTGGGTCGTCCTATGGACTTTGCTGCTACGAGCCTCGAGGCGGGGAGTTTGCAAGGCAATTGAATGGGGTGAGTCGACAATTTGAAGCTTCAGTTACAACGAATCGACCAGACTTGGAAGTAAAATGGTGCGGGATACATTTCATATGGCAGCAAGATGTTGCAGATTTTGTTAATAATTTAACATCACTTGCTAGTCACCGTCAACACCCAGGATTTGAGCTTTGGTCTACATTGGAAAGCTCTGGTGCTGAGATGGTACGTGTGTATGATCGATCCATGGGAACCTCAATGAACTTTCCACTCTGAATGAAGACAGCTACAAACACTGGAACAATTGCAAGGTTTTGTCGTCTGACCACATAATTGTCACTCCAAACATTGTCGTTTTGTCATCATTTACATATAATGGCCGAGCCTGAGACGCAACTCTATGGTCGACCTAATTTTGCAGACCGGAAGAGAGAACTTGAGTTTGTTGCTTCAGTCTTAAAGGACACATTGTTTCTGTTTTAAAGCACTTCAATCCTTCTTCCACATAAAATATTTGTTTCCGTCACAACTTTTAAGGAACAAAAAGATATCGTACACAAGTTTAAGGAACAAAAAGATAATCATAACGAGCTTTTATTGCCCAGAAGGACAAAAATAATTGTTTTACTCCTCCCCTTTGTCCCTATTTCAATCCAATCCTTCTATTCAGGTTACCATGGATAGAAGCAAAAGCCTCCGTATCCAAGACCCTTTGTCTCTCCCTCCTCTAACAATCACAAGGAAAAGGATTCTATAATTCACATGGTAGGCTAGGCAATGCACACTACTCATACATGTAAAAATGAAAGATGGTAGAAGCAGCAGGCATACAAGAAAAGCAAAACCAACAATCCAAACCGGCGACGAACAGAAAAGTACAACTCTTGCTGGTCATTGGAGGAGCCAATCACAAGACACCCACCACCCATAAATTTCTGTGTACCATGTGATGCATCCTCCATCCACCTTGTGTCTGTATAGGCTGCCCATGAATGGCCTTGGATAATAACAGGAAAGCTTTACCAATCTCATAGAAAGTAGTCTGGTGCAGGTTTCTTGGCAGGTGTGCCTCTTGATTCCTGCATTTTTATCACAATATTTCAGAACCAAATATAAGGGAACGGAAACACGATGTCTGGAGGGGACACCCAGGTATTCACCAATGGCAAAGGTTAAAGAGGAAAAGAGGACCCAAAAAAAGGACAATGTACTCAGGGTCCATGCATTGAATTGAGTGTCATTCTTTTGTGCATTGGTGAAACGCAAAAGTTGTTACTAAGAATAACCAATGTTACTATTTCCATATAATCATTCATAGTCAGCATCCCAACTCTTTCCAAATTTTATTGACAATCATATCAAGTAGAATCCTTTGCTAAAAGAACCAGTGCATTTCATCATTGGACGCATGGAACCCCACATAACAATGGAATGTGAACACGAACAAAGTTAGGTGCTGCTGCTCAAAATAACCAAAGCAATTTCAAGAAAAAGAAAAGGTGATCAATTGCGACTTAATTTTATGTACAAACCTGTGGCGCAGCATCGAAGACACGAAACTGCTTATTAAGATTTTCATCCAGCTCAAGAATTGCAGCTACATTACCACATCTGAAACAGACCCATCATTGATAATATAAACCTTCAAATTCCAGAAAAATGGGGGAAAATGTTAATTGCAGATTGCTAATTTACCTGTAACAGTAATTGGGTGCTGACCAGACTGTAACTATCTGGTTATTAAACATCCATTTATACCCTTCCATTACCAACTGATGGGCGCGACATATATAGTCAATGTTGTTTGCATGGTTAAATGAAGAAACAACACTGCCACCAAAGAGGAAACCAGCACCACGAGGACTCAAACCCCAACCATCCACGATATCTTCAGGATCTGACCATAGTAGGTCACACATGGCACCATCATGTGGTACTTCTTGCTTCCGGTCAATTGTTCGTATCTGCCAAACAGAACATGTGAGTTGGTTAGTATATAAAGGATTGAAGATTACAATTTAAATCAACATAGTAACGATGCAACTCAAACTGGATTATCAAACCTGATCCAGAGTTGAAATGGCAGGAGAGAGACCACCATGTACGCTAAAAATCTTATTCTCAATGAGAGCTGACAAACTGCATTAAGCCGCCATCAAAACTCAAAAGCTGTAAAAGAGAAACAACATAATATACCCAAATTTTGTTTCTCACTTTTTGACCTATTGACTTCTTTTTTGTGCCAGATTTCCACCTGAATTTTTTTAAAACCCTAAAAGGAGTTTTTGAAATTTTTTTCCCCAAGGCTTAAACCTACAATTTCTGGGCAATTCGGCACAAAATGAAAAACTTTGGGGTGGCAATCTGGCACAAAAAAGTTCAGGTGGAAATCTGAAACAAAATAGTGGTCATGTGACTCGCATTTGACTCTTTTCTTAACAGTCTTGATGGTATGTGGTATTTTGGTGCAAAAAGATTTAGTTACAGGTGGTAAATTGTCAATAAAAGATAAACTCAGGTGGTCAAGTGTCACAAGTGGCAAAGTTCAGGTGGTATTGCTAAAATATTCCCAGAAACAATAACCTGCCATCACCCACTATGAAACCAAGTTTCTGTGTCATAATATTTTCAGCTGCCTAGCCTTAAACAGACAGAGTTTATGGGATAGAAAAGGGCAAACCTTAGGTAATCAAATATATCAGTGCAATATCTCCAAACATTGACAGATCCGTACTTTCGTAGACACTCATCATAGAATCCATACACCTGTCTAGAGAGGATAACTCAGTAAATATTCTGAATGGGTAAGTAATAAAAAAATAAGGCACCAGTGAAAGAGACTTAACCTGCGTGATTTGACGACTCTCGTGGTTTCCTCTAATAAGTGTTATCCGATCTGGATATCTAACCTGAAGTATAATTATTAGTTAAAAAAATAAACTTATGAATAACCATCAAAGGCTTAGATCAAAATGAGAATAAATGCACAATCTATATGATGGCCAAAATTCATGATCGGCCACTGGGAATTAAGATGGTATCATAAACTAAACCTAATCAAATAAAAGGAAGATGATTCCAGTTATCTCCCTTGACTTTACAAGAACTTAAATGGAGCCTAGATGGATAAACAAATGAGACTACTCCAATCAAATTATAAATTAGCTTTATCTGATTAGGTTTTTCCCTTTTTCTTTGGGGGACAAGTGATAAGTTTTTCTTGTCACTCTATCTACTAATCATACATTGAGGTCATACTCCCTAACAAGTTGCATAGGCCTTTCCGTTTCCCCTGAGTTTTTCCCTGTTTGTTTGGACAGGGTGATGACTCAAAACGTATCCCTGTGACTAGATATGTTCCTACTAATTCAGATAGCAAATTCGTAGCCATAGCCTTATGTGTGCTAGCAAATAATGCAGTTCTAAACCACGGTTTCTTAAAAATGAAATAAAAGGTATCTTTTTTTTTTCCTTAAACCATCATGAGTTAATGTGGCATTCAATCCACAATCAATTTACAACTTTAGAGAAAACTTTTCAGCAGTTCAACATCAAAGACTCCTGAAAAGTCCAGTGAAGTAAGATAAGCCCTTAAAGTGGCCATAAAATTTTGCAAGAAGATCTTATCATCTAGAAGAAATGCTAGTGGAAGGAAAATAAACTGTGCATATGAGTATCTATTATTTCCTAGGTATTTCCATGATAGAACAAAGCATGCTTGCATCGCACTAGTACAAGAAGGGGCTATGACAAACAGCCTTTGTGATGCAGGAAAACATAGGTGGGTGTTGTCTACGACTTTTAAGAAATACAGGGATGGAGAAGAAGGTAGAAGAGATACAAACACACCATGACTTCATCAACACTTAATTATCTTCCATTTCAATCTGATATGCTTTACAACAGATAGCCTTGTTTTTGGGTTTCAAATAGAACAGTTAAGGGTAAAAATAAAAAGTATGATACTAAAAACTCACTACTAACTTTCAGACATTGCGTGTTCCTAAAACCCAAATAAGTAGACTCTAAATAACACTTGACCAAAATCAATACTCTTAATAAGACTTGGCATAAACGCTTATACTGACACTTTCATTTACTATTTTTACTCTATGATTTTATTTTCTTGCACTATCATGGACATCTTACTTAAAACTCAAAAGCCTTAGTTTTCGAGTTTGGCAAATGAGAAGTCTTGGGCTACTTCTTCACTAACCAAGTTGTAGCTACTTCATCACCTTTGGTTTCCAAGGCAGAGGGTGCAATATAAATAATTGCCATGGAATTTGGTGTTCCAATCTTTAAATTTAGGGTTGCGTTTTAAAGCAATAGAAACAACACTTGTACAACGAATCGACCAGACTTGGAAGTAAAATGGTGCGGGATACATTTCATATGGCAGCAAGATGTTGCAGATTTTGTTAATAATTTAACATCACTTGCTAGTCACCGTCAACACCCAGGATTTGAGCTTTGGTCTACATTGGAAAGCTCTGGTGCTGAGATGGTACGTGTGTATGATCGATCCATGGGAACCTCAATGAACTTTCCACTCTGAATGAAGACAGCTACAAACACTGGAACAATTGCAAGGTTTTGTCGTCTGACCACATAATTGTCACTCCAAACATTGTCGTTTTGTCATCATTTACATATAATGGCCGAGCCTGAGACGCAACTCTATGGTCGACCTAATTTTGCAGACCGGAAGAGAGAACTTGAGTTTGTTGCTTCAGTCTTAAAGGACACATTGTTTCTCACTTCCGAAGCTTAAACGATTATTTTTCCGTGGAAAGATGAGCTTGCGGAATCCTCTGTTTCCAAAAGTGCCTGTATCCGCTGAACATAAAGATGAGCTTGCGGAATCCTCTGTTTCCACTGAGCATAGAGATGTGCAAATGGAATGCTCTGTATTGTTCAATAAGGTGGCAGAATTCTCTAGCATGCTATATCTTACACTTGCATTATTAGGTTATTTTTTCGTCTTATTAAAGCACTTCAATCCTTCTTCCACATAAAATATTTGTTTCCGTCACAACTTTTAAGGAACAAAAAGATATCGTACACAAGTTTAAGGAACAAAAAGATAATCATAACGAGCTTTTATTGCCCAGAAGGACAAAAATAATTGTTTTACTCCTCCCCTTTGTCCCTATTTCAATCCAATCCTTCTATTCAGGTTACCATGGATAGAAGCAAAAGCCTCCGTATCCAAGACCCTTTGTCTCTCCCTCCTCTAACAATCACAAGGAAAAGGATTCTATAATTCACATGGTAGGCTAGGCAATGCACACTACTCATACATGTAAAAATGAAAGATGGTAGAAGCAGCAGGCATACAAGAAAAGCAAAACCAACAATCCAAACCGGCGACGAACAGAAAAGTACAACTCTTGCTGGTCATTGGAGGAGCCAATCACAAGACACCCACCACCCATAAATTTCTGTGTACCATGTGATGCATCCTCCATCCACCTTGTGTCTGTATAGGCTGCCCATGAATGGCCTTGGATAATAACAGGAAAGCTTTACCAATCTCATAGAAAGTAGTCTGGTGCAGGTTTCTTGGCAGGTGTGCCTCTTGATTCCTGCATTTTTATCACAATATTTCAGAACCAAATATAAGGGAACGGAAACACGATGTCTGGAGGGGACACCCAGGTATTCACCAATGGCAAAGGTTAAAGAGGAAAAGAGGACCCAAAAAAAGGACAATGTACTCAGGGTCCATGCATTGAATTGAGTGTCATTCTTTTGTGCATTGGTGAAACGCAAAAGTTGTTACTAAGAATAACCAATGTTACTATTTCCATATAATCATTCATAGTCAGCATCCCAACTCTTTCCAAATTTTATTGACAATCATATCAAGTAGAATCCTTTGCTAAAAGAACCAGTGCATTTCATCATTGGACGCATGGAACCCCACATAACAATGGAATGTGAACACGAACAAAGTTAGGTGCTGCTGCTCAAAATAACCAAAGCAATTTCAAGAAAAAGAAAAGGTGATCAATTGCGACTTAATTTTATGTACAAACCTGTGGCGCAGCATCGAAGACACGAAACTGCTTATTAAGATTTTCATCCAGCTCAAGAATTGCAGCTACATTACCACATCTGAAACAGACCCATCATTGATAATATAAACCTTCAAATTCCAGAAAAATGGGGGAAAATGTTAATTGCAGATTGCTAATTTACCTGTAACAGTAATTGGGTGCTGACCAGACTGTAACTATCTGGTTATTAAACATCCATTTATACCCTTCCATTACCAACTGATGGGCGCGACATATATAGTCAATGTTGTTTGCATGGTTAAATGAAGAAACAACACTGCCACCAAAGAGGAAACCAGCACCACGAGGACTCAAACCCCAACCATCCACGATATCTTCAGGATCTGACCATAGTAGGTCACACATGGCACCATCATGTGGTACTTCTTGCTTCCGGTCAATTGTTCGTATCTGCCAAACAGAACATGTGAGTTGGTTAGTATATAAAGGATTGAAGATTACAATTTAAATCAACATAGTAACGATGCAACTCAAACTGGATTATCAAACCTGATCCAGAGTTGAAATGGCAGGAGAGAGACCACCATGTACGCTAAAAATCTTATTCTCAATGAGAGCTGACAAACTGCATTAAGCCGCCATCAAAACTCAAAAGCTGTAAAAGAGAAACAACATAATATACCCAAATTTTGTTTCTCACTTTTTGACCTATTGACTTCTTTTTTGTGCCAGATTTCCACCTGAATTTTTTTAAAACCCTAAAAGGAGTTTTTGAAATTTTTTTCCCCAAGGCTTAAACCTACAATTTCTGGGCAATTCGGCACAAAATGAAAAACTTTGGGGTGGCAATCTGGCACAAAAAAGTTCAGGTGGAAATCTGAAACAAAATAGTGGTCATGTGACTCGCATTTGACTCTTTTCTTAACAGTCTTGATGGTATGTGGTATTTTGGTGCAAAAAGATTTAGTTACAGGTGGTAAATTGTCAATAAAAGATAAACTCAGGTGGTCAAGTGTCACAAGTGGCAAAGTTCAGGTGGTATTGCTAAAATATTCCCAGAAACAATAACCTGCCATCACCCACTATGAAACCAAGTTTCTGTGTCATAATATTTTCAGCTGCCTAGCCTTAAACAGACAGAGTTTATGGGATAGAAAAGGGCAAACCTTAGGTAATCAAATATATCAGTGCAATATCTCCAAACATTGACAGATCCGTACTTTCGTAGACACTCATCATAGAATCCATACACCTGTCTAGAGAGGATAACTCAGTAAATATTCTGAATGGGTAAGTAATAAAAAAATAAGGCACCAGTGAAAGAGACTTAACCTGCGTGATTTGACGACTCTCGTGGTTTCCTCTAATAAGTGTTATCCGATCTGGATATCTAACCTGAAGTATAATTATTAGTTAAAAAAATAAACTTATGAATAACCATCAAAGGCTTAGATCAAAATGAGAATAAATGCACAATCTATATGATGGCCAAAATTCATGATCGGCCACTGGGAATTAAGATGGTATCATAAACTAAACCTAATCAAATAAAAGGAAGATGATTCCAGTTATCTCCCTTGACTTTACAAGAACTTAAATGGAGCCTAGATGGATAAACAAATGAGACTACTCCAATCAAATTATAAATTAGCTTTATCTGATTAGGTTTTTCCCTTTTTCTTTGGGGGACAAGTGATAAGTTTTTCTTGTCACTCTATCTACTAATCATACATTGAGGTCATACTCCCTAACAAGTTGCATAGGCCTTTCCGTTTCCCCTGAGTTTTTCCCTGTTTGTTTGGACAGGGTGATGACTCAAAACGTATCCCTGTGACTAGATATGTTCCTACTAATTCAGATAGCAAATTCGTAGCCATAGCCTTATGTGTGCTAGCAAA